ATGTCGAAAATAGGAAAATAACATAAAATCAATTAAATTGAAATACAACAAAATAAATCGACATAAATTCAAGTAAATTGAAATAAATTCAAATGAAATAAACTGAAATAAAATAAGTAAAATTCAAGAAAATTGAAATAAATTCAAATAAATTTATGTGTATGAAATAAAATAAATTGAAAATAAATTCAAACATATTGAAATACGTATGTAAATTCAAATGAAATAAAATAAATAAATTGTAATAAAATACGATAAATTCAAGTAATTTCAAATAATTTCGAATGAAATAAATTAAAATAAAATTAAAAAATTAAAATTAATTAAAAAAACGATAATTTTTTTTTTTTGGGGGAGAGGCGGGCGAAAAACCCCTTCGAATCTATAACATTCGTCGCTGTTACGTATGTGGTGTGGCCACTAAAAAACTCCCTCTCCCTGGACTCTTCGCTACCCTTACCCTGGCAGCGCTTTCGCATTGCTTCGGGGTAGAGGTCCAGAGATCTTTTCAGACTCTTCTACTCTTCTGCGTTCAGGATTGCCACTTGTGGCTCACTATGCGTTTCTAGCCTCCCTTTTTTCACTCTCAAGATATTTTCTGTGTACGTTGCGGTGTCATTCCAGTTTTCATCGCAGCTCGTCATTTTTTTTTACCATGTTCTCTGCGGTGGTTTTGCCTATTTGTCGCTCAAGCGCATCCGTTTCTCTTTGCCATCTTCGGCATTTGGAGTATGTTTGTTCTGCGTCGTCTAGCTCGGCATCATAGAAACAGCTCGGGCTCTCTGCCTTGCCCATCTGATGGAGATATTTCAGGAAGTATCCGTGGTAATTCCTACTTCATTTTGCCTTTTTTACCCGCTAGATCTATGGGTAGGATTCCGCTTATTACTTAAATCGCTGGTTCAGATACGGTACGGTAAGATGATGCCACTCTAAGAGCAGCTGTGCGCTGTACCGAAGATAGTATTCTCCTTCTTTTTTCTATTGCCAGTGCGTCTGCCCAGATTGCGCTGTCATCGAGAAGGATTGACGTGGGTATGTCCATTAGTAGTTTTCTCTTGCTCTGTTTTGGTCCTCCAATATTTGCCATCAGTTTGCTGATCGATGCTGCCACTAGTTGTGCTTTCTTAGCTGCGTGCTGTATTTGTGCCCAATATGTCAGCTTGGGGTCCAATATTAGACCTAGGTACTTCACAGATTTCTTGGAGAGAGTTACTGTGTCACCATTTCAACTTCAACAGGGATGTGTCTTCGTATTAGCAGGAGTATTTCTGTCTTTTCGGTGGCTAGCGTTAGACCATGGTTATCTAGCCACTCTTTGGTGCGTAGCATGACTTGGTTGAGTTTTCTTTGTGCTTCCTGGCCTTGATTACCGGCGCGACATCATCTGCGAAAGCTACTAGATGACTATCGTCTGGCATGTCTATTTCTAGGATTCCGTCGTAATTTGTGTTTAAAAGGTCGGGGCCCAATAGTGAGCCCCGTGCGCTGCCCCCGAAGTTATCGCCTTTGTCATGACTCCATCGTTTGTTTCATAGAGGAGCATGCGGTCACTCAAGTAACTGCGTATTACCTTCATCAACTGGCTGTGTACGTGATAGAGGGACTCTACGGTCTCGATTATTTCAGTCCATCTAACGCTGTTAAAGGCGTTTCGCCCGTTTAGTGTTGCCAGCAGGACTATTTCCCGAGAGTCCCAAGTTTCTGCACCCCTATTTTGTACCCTAGACCCCAGAGGTTCAGAGGTTTTCGCTTTGCTTTGCCGAATTGCCTTTTTCAAGTCTGTTTTAGCTGTCTTGTACTCTTCCATTGTGTCTGTTGTAACTCCTCTGAGTCTTTCTCTAGTAAGCTTCCTCCTTTTCTGGAGACACGAGTAGTCGAAGAGCAGCTATTTCCTACGTCCACCAGTATACCGCTTTTTTCTTGAATGGTTTAGCTTTTGGCATGGATGCGTTGCAGGCTTTGACAATATTTGTCATAGTTTTGTTTACAAGGGTTTTGGCATCGATGTCTTGATCTGATAGATTAGTTTTGCAGATGTTGTATAATAACTTTTCTGAGTTTATCTTGGAAGTCATCCACTTCCTAGTACTTTTATTTCCTAAGGAGCCTGGCCGATTTCCTTGCTCTATGTCGAAACGTATGTATTGGTGGTCGCTGGCGGTAAATTCTTCCAGTACGTTCCAGTTCTTCACTTCTCTTATTAATCCTTCGGAGACGAGAGTAATGTCCGCGATGGTATCTACACAGCCTATTCTTCTAAATGTTGGAGTATTTCCCCTGTTTGCTACAACCAGTCTAAGCCGGGCTGCTGTATCTAGGATTCGTCTTCCTCTACCGCTTTCGGATTAAAGTCGCCTGCCATTATAATGTTTCCGCCGATCTCTATGGCTTCTTTTTCTATGAGGTCTAACTTTCTTTGAAAAATGTCAGTGGGGTAGTTTGGTGTTAGCTAGCAACTCATGAGTGTGTATTGGTTATTTTTTATCCACACAAAGTATTCTCCCGCTCCCTTTATTAAAACTGTGTGGTTGCTTATGTTTGGTAACCACAGAGCCGCTGTGCGGGTGCTGTCCTCCAGCCAAGGTCCATGGTTTCGTTGTTTGTATTGTATTCGTGTCATTTGGCTTTTCTTTTTTTTTCTTTATGTCATGCACTTGTTTGTTCCAGGTATATGATCAACTGTGTTTTCTCCGGTTTTAGACAAAGACAGCACCTCGGTTTATTTCGGCATTCTTTTATGCTATGGTTTGCTTCACCACAGCGAATACATAGGCCTTTAGCTCTTCTATCTTTGCCATTACAGTTGTACTGCATGTGGCCTAATCCGAAGCATTTGACGAATGTGCGCATTTGTTCTCGGCTATTTGGCTTCGTGAGGGTAACGCTCATAGTTCCGGTGTCTGGGGCAATTTTCTTTAGTGCTACTTTTATTTCTTATCGGGTTGTAAAGGCATCTAAGTCTGGCCACTCTATCGTTGACTTTTCTTTGAGTCCTTCCACCTCTGCTGAGTCGCTGACCTCAGTTTTCAGTTTCTTGCAAAACTGGTCTCCGACTTAAGGACCTTTTTCTTGTTCAAGTACGATAGCGCCCGTCTTTGTTTTCCGGATTTTCCGCACGCCTACTTCATCGTCCGGGTTCATTTTGCTACGTAAGGTTTTTAGTACGTCAGCGTAGCTATGTCCTTCTGCTGGTTTAATCATTATCGCGTCTGGACAAAACCTACGACTCCTAAAATATAGCCAGCTTTGAGTTTTTTGAAATTACCGTTACGTTGGTGGAGTCCGTTGTTTTTGCCCGATTTAAAAATATTCAAGATGGTACATACATATAAATTCAAGGCCGTTTTTGCGAAAAGTCGCCTAAATTCGACAATTTTGATGCGATTACAATAAATGAGTTCTATTTTTTTTGAAAATAGATTTAATTTTAGATGGTACTACATATTTTGAAATTGTAGAAATTATCGATGGTCAAAATTTATAAAATTAAGAGAAATATGGTTCTTGTTTTATTTTACCCTATAAAAAATCTTAAGAATCCAAGTCCGACAATAGATTATTATATACCGTTTTGAAGGCCTATATATCCTCTTATCAGATCATATTCGATCATTGAAATTGAATCAAAAATAGTTATTCAAAAACTCATAAATCCACAAAATCGTATTTTCTCACTTAAATCGACAAGTCGCGACCTCTAAATGACCTTTAAAAAATCTATAAAAATAGGCAATAATATTTCTCATAAAATAGAATAAAATTAGGGGATAGGGTCTTGAAATTAAAAAAAAAAAAAGCATTTTCGATGGGCGCCCTAGTACAGAGCCTCAGCAAGGTCCTCAAGTCGCTAGCCGGCAGTACTTGGGGCAACTACAAAGACACGTTGCTGGCAACATACAAGGCAATTGGTCGGCCGGTTCTAAATAACGGAGCACCAGTGTGGTCGCCGGGGACTAGTGGGACGCTACAGACGACACAGAACACAGCACTTCGGACAGCTACTGGATGTCTTCTGATGTCGCCAGAACACCACCTGAATGACGAGGCGATAATGCTCCCCCTAAAGGAGCACAACACAATGCTCTGCAAGCAATTCTTAGAAGGCAGTCACAGACATGGGCACCCGGACAGACACTTGCTTGCAGAGGAGCGCTCGCCAAGGCACATCAGAAGGCATCTATATGAACTGACGGACGAAGTCCAGAGGTCCATAAAGCAACCTCTGGTCAGTCTCGAGTTATGAAGACTCCAGACCTGTGAATGCCGTTCTAGGCACACAACCACCTGACATCGACGAGACGGAACTTCGTCTGCCTCGGGAGACTAGAAGCACAATAGCCCAACTTCGCTCTGGCTACTGTAGCAGGTTAAACTCATATCTGACCAGATTAGATGCAGATGTGCCGAATGAATGTCCGGCATGCGGAGACACCCCACGACTCGAAACATCTCTTCGTATGTCCGGACAACCCCACACAACTAACGCCTCTGTCCCCGCCGACAGACCCTATAGAAGCTGCAAGCTTTTTGGGTCTTCCGTTAGTTGAGCTTGACGACAATGACTGAGATACTAACCAATCCGGGCGGGGTTGTTGTTGCCGCTACAACAACAACAACCTATCGGAAATTCGTTTCAAAATATTCGTTTTTCAATTTTTCCTAATAAACAATCGTGGTACAAAGCTCAATAAAAATATTAAAAATAAAATCATCTCCCTTTTCTGCATTGTGAAATTCAATCTATATTTTTATCACGTCTCTGAAACTACGAATTATTTTTTAGTTGAGTCTTCTAGTAATTGTGAACGTTTTTAGTTGTTGTTGTTGTAGCAGCATACAAATTCCCCAAAGACTTTTTGGGGAGTGTTGCTGGAGTGACAGTCCTTGGCCAGATATAAATCTGGGTCGTTCCGGTTACGTAGACCCGACTGTCGTGGGAACGAACGTTTTTAGTATATAAATATACTGTGTACCTGTTTGGCCAAACATAACATCTTATATAGTGTGTATATGGGAAGTAGTTGTTGCAAGCCGGAATTTCCTTTAAATTAACCCAAAATTATTTAAGCATTTTACATGTTGCAGTTTATTAAAATATTTCAATACACAATCATATTTAACAGATACGGTTACACGCTCCAAAAATCTCAAGCTTTTACAAAGAATTCAAATAGTTGTAAACAATATAGAAGTTTAGGTTACTCATATATGTTAAAAGGTTTCAAGGAATGGCGAAAGCGAAAGTTGGCTTACATATACATAATTGTATAGAGTTCGTTAAAACTGTAATCTGTTGAATTGCATTTAACTATTGACATTTATATACTTTTGTTTTTCAAAACGACGTGTATTTAATAAAGTAATATTTTAGAATCTAGGCACCTAATCTAACTCTCAGAGAGGGTACACAACTAATATAATTAGTCGAATGCTTACGTACATAAATAAACATTACCCACATATAAACATTAATAAATGATTTTTTTTTTTAATTTACATATGTCCATTTACAACGCCTTCCACAGACGTCTTATTGTGTGTTTCAAGTAACAATGACTTTACCAGGTCGGTGGTGAACTTTTCAACCAAATGCAATGCATCGCATTGGTTCATTTCTATCAATGATGAAGTTAAAAACTGCCCAAATGCTCTGAATTTGCAAAAGTTTGGATTGGGATTAAAGTTGAGATCTTCTTCTTTGTCAGGAGTTGTTGGTTGCATTTCATTATAGTTGATATTTCGATTTTGTTGGTTAGAATTGTTAGGCAAATCCGAAGCTAGCTGTCTCTCTGGTGCCGCGGCAGCAACTGGCGGGCATCTACAAATTTAGATAAAATATAGATAAATTTTATGTTTTGTTCCTAGATGAATATGTACTAGGTAGCTTACGGTGGATATTGATTTGATTCATCACAGCCATCAGAATCACTGCAATATGCAAAGCGCACAGGTCTTATGTTTTGAATTATTTAAAGCCGTACAAATAAATACAACATTTAAATGCTCACCTTGAATTTGAGAACGGCGCTGATTTCGGTCTTACAACTACTTCTTTCGTAAACGACCGACGGGCTTTTATGTGACCGCCTAAATATGTCAAATAGTTATACATTGGCCATTGGGATGTGATACTTGGGTCGTTGTATTGATCTTGCAACATTTCCACTCTTCGTTTCTCCAGATTATAACGATTTCGTAGCTGCACCATACGATTTTTTACAATAGCAACTGTTGAAATTAATAAATACTATTGTTTAAAAGGCTACGTTTCATTAAAGGCTTTATATCGCAGTAACTCGCATTTTTTTTAACTAATTGCATTTGTAAATATTTTCTCTATCATAAAAATAATTTACGTATATAGATATGTATGCATATGAATCAAACGCATTCAGGGCAAGTAACTCACCATTTTGCCCCACACTCTCGGCCATGTCCATCCACATGCCGTCCAGATAATCTCTGTTTCTATATTGGGGATGTGTCCGGTCATAGAAGGCTGGTCGTTGCTGGAATTCACGTGCAAGCATTACATCAAGATCATCAAGTGCTGGTCCTTCACCGCGACGTGGGCGTCCACGCTTTCGCCTGCCCGTCATGATAAAATAATTTTATGCAGACACAAAACTAAGAAAATCAAAATGTAGCGTTTTGTATTTTAATCTGCGTTTCTTTGTCTCTCTTATGTATGTATGTATGTATTTTAACGTAATTGTTCTCTTTCGCTTATATTGCCCCAAATTTAGTTCGATTTTTATATTTATATTTTTTTTTCATACGCACTTTCTAGTGTGGAGTTTTGATAATTTTTCTACAAATTATCGCTTGTTAAAACGAAAAAACAAATTCAGTGGTGCCACTGTATTGGTATTACTTTTGTGTTTTATTTCTATTTTAAGCAATTTTCGTTTTTAAAAGACTGAAAGGAAATGTAAAATCAAGTTTTGGTAATAGTTGAAATTATATATTGATACATATATGTATTTATATATATATTAATTAAATAAATACTATTTTAGCTTTAATTGCTCCGTCCCTTAAAAATATGTGCGTCAGGGTTGCCAATGACAAAAAAAATACTTACCATCCACTTGTTTCCTTCAACCAAAAGCGAAAGAGATGAAATTAAAAGCAACAACGAAACTCCATAATTTCGAAACTTAATTCAATAAAGTCGACTATACTTTTTATTGGAAATTGATAATATAAAAATAACTACCGAAAATTAAGCGGGAGCGGGAAGTTTTTTATTGTTTTTCAAACAAAATACTTTAACAAAAATCAACCAAAATAAAAAAAAAAGTTATCAACCCTAATTTTTTTCTACAAATTTTGGTAATAATTTCGAAAGTGGCAACGCTGATGGGGGCACTTCAGACAGGGTCACCGTGTTAGTAATGTGGTGCTGCATTTATTTGTACACCACCTGTCTGAAAAATAGCAAATAAACGAATTATGAATAATTTAGTTTAATAATAATAACATTAAATCATGTTAATATAAAAAATGTGTGAAAACATCAAGGCGCACACCACAAGTCGGAGGAGAAGCTCGGCCAAACACTAACATATGTGTAAGCGCCAATCTATTATTATTATTAATATAAAAAATGTATAAAAAATTTCTATGGTAATCTAAACATCGTATATTTAATTAATTTTATAAGAAATTGTTGCGTTGTCTGTGTTGATTTTGTAGTACCTAATTTATGAAATTTATGTAGTAATCATACATATTTTTTTAAAGATTTTAACGCAGAGTTTTTTGCTTGTTTTTGGACATACGTACATATAAAATATAAATAAATAAAATAAGTAATTTTAGCAAAAAAAACCAACTCCAATTCTCATATAAAAAAAAAAAATATATATATATATATTTCATGATCCAGTGATCGGATCTAAACCAGATTGGTATGGGACCACCTCTGAGACACTACCTTTCCGATGCAAAAAGAATTATCGCAATCGGTTGACGGTAACATACATAAAAAAAAATATTCCGACGAACTGATAACCTCCTCCTTTTTTGGAAGTCGGTTAAAAAAGATTGGAGCTCGGTATATTTGGTCAAATTAAAAAAAATAATAATAATAAATAATAGGGAATGATCTTTTTTCTTACTTCTACATTAAATATAAATCTTGCGGTTATTTTGATTATTAAAATCCTCTTGTTTTAAGATTTCATATTTTTTGTTTGGTTGCAAATTTATGAGTAAAAAAATATACCTGCAGATTGGTTGGAATAATCAGTAGAGATAGAGAAACATCGATGTTGCTACTATCGAAGTTTTAAAGCAAAAATGCAAAAACATCGATGCAGTGATAGTGCCACGATGTTTTCTCCACCTCTAATATTAGTTGCGTTCGATAACAGCCAACACCAGCCAACCATGAACGAAAGACACATTTCCACATTATTTTTGGTTCATGCCAGCCAACAATCGAAATCAAGAGAGTAAGCGAAAATTCTCTCCCCAAGAGAAGAGAAAGCAAAACTCGAGAAATGCAATTTTGTTTGTTTACAAAAATTGCAACCATATGTTTTGTGATAATATATTTTCGTGTTGGATAATTTTTGCCATGGATAACTAGATATGAAACTCTCTCCCCTTTTCTGAGAGCGCGCCCAGGAACTCGTTTTCGTACTTGGCAGCACTGCCAATCCCTGGGCAGATAAACAGCTGACACGCGAAGTTGTGAGCTACCACTAGATGTGTGGAAAATGCATCACATTGAATTCAGTGGATTTCTTCTTTCCGCATTTTTTAATATTATTGGCTGCGTTTCTTTATACATTCCGGATAATCCCATTTCACAGCCGGAATAAACAGAATGCTTTTGAAATATACGTTAACATATCATCAGGAACGTTCTAAAGAATAAGTAAACAAAAAAGTTTATTCCAAACGTTCAGAATGAATAAAGAAATTCAGCCATTACAAAACAGTAGTTGTAGATAGATATGAAAAATATTGCAACTTTTGTTCGTTGTGTTTAATCAAAAGTTTCTCCATAAATTTCTCTATAAATGCTCATACATGTTTACGTCACAGCGGCTCTACTGGAGAATGTTATAAAAAATACGCACTTTGACAGCGCTCTCACGAGAAAAAGAGTTTCATATCTAGTTATCCATGATTTTTGCTGACTAAAATTTTGCCAGTACAAAATGAACGCTTCTCCTGCATCTAAATGAACGCTTGCTCTCTCAATTTTTGTGTGTTGGATAATTTTTTGTCGTTATCGAACGCCATCCAGTAAAAATTTGGAAAAAACTTTTACAAATTTTTGACTTGTCGAACGCAACTAATCCGATGTTTTATGACAGTAAAGGAAAAAATCTGTTGTCATCATTTCTTGGTGNTTCGAACGCAACTGTTATCGAACGCCATCCAGTAAAAAATTTGGAAAAAACTATTACAAATTTTTGACTTGTCGAACGCAACTAATCAGATGTTTTATGACAGTAAAGGAAAAAATCTGTTGTCATCATTTCTTGGTGATTTAAACAAATTGGCTTTTATTGATCATTTTGTTAGCAAGCAAATTTGTGAATTCCTTTTTCCATATTAACTAAAATAGAAACCAATCGCATATCAAAAATAAATGCTACATCAAGCATAATTTTAAGAAATGGCTGAAGCGCAAATTGGTCGACGAAATGCATGTATTGTAGTATTGGGCGACATTGGACGCAGTCCACGCATGCAATATCACGCTGTTAGTTTACTCGAAGAAAATTTTAATGTTGATATCGTTGGCTATGTAGAAACAAAGCCGTTGGATGTGTTAGTTAATGCACCCAAATGCAAAATACATGAATTGTCACCAGTGCCTGTAACAAATCTGACACCCAAATTAAAGCTTGTATTCAAAACATTCTGGCAGACTTTGAGCTTGCTGATAGCGCTAGTTTCAATACGTCGCCCAAATTGTTTGCTTGTACAAAACCCGCCAGGCGTACCTACATTGATAGTTTGTTACCTTTATTGTGCGCTTACTCGAACAAAATTTGTCATCGACTGGCATAATTACACGTACACCATATTAGCTTTAGGCAATGTGAATGGAGAAAAGAGTGGATTTTGTCGTTTAGCAAAATGGATTGAACGTTCGTTTGGAAGCAAAGCAAATGCAAATTTTTGCGTAACCAAAGCTATGCAGCAGGATTTGATTCTAAATTGGAATATTGGGTAAACTTTTATTTTAAACATACATATAACATAGAAAGTTTATTTACATAAAAACTACATGCTTTCCTATCCACGACGCAGATTCTTGATTCATATCCATATTTCTATTTACTTTCTTCTCTATAGTCCAGCTGTTGTCTTATACGACCGCCCCCCTACACAATTCCATCCCATTGAATTGGCACAGAAACACGAGCTATTCATGAAATTATCCAAGGTGTATCCACAGTTTCTGCCAAAATGCTATTTGGATTTAAAGGAGTCAGGTGTTATTGAAACAACAGCTCTTACTCAAAAATTAATTAATGGAAACGTTTCACACAAACCACAAAGAGCGGCTATAGTGGTATCTAGCACTAGTTGGACACCAGATGAAGACTTTAGTATACTTCTAAAAGCATTAGAGGGTATTTTAGATAATCATTTTTTACTTGCTATATCTACATACACATAACATCTTTAGATTATGAGAACACTGCTACAGCGCGCCCAAAAAACTTTCCTTCTCTATTGTGTATCATTACCGGAAAGGGACCACAGAAGCAAGAGTATGAAACACAAATTGCTAAGCTAAAATGGTCGAAAGTTTCTATAATTACGCCATGGTTGGAAGTAGAAGATTACCCATTAATTTTAGCGGCAGCCGATTTAGGCGTGTGTTTACACTGGAGCAGCAGTGGTTTAGACTTGCCTATGAAAGTGGTGGATATGTTCGGCTGCGGCCTGCCGGTATGCGCATATAATTTTAAATGGTAAGTACGCACATTTTTTGTGTTCTTAATTACTTTTGCGTGGTTTGATTAAAAAATTTGTCATGGTTTGTATGCATGAGCGTGTTTAAACATAATGAAGCTATTTCAGTCAAGTATTAAGAATTCAACGTATTAAATAAATTTTTTATAAGGCATAACGAATACCCCTTGTGGTTTACCAAGCAATAAGGACGCTAATTTACTTAAAATTTATACACCCCGGCTTATCATGTAGCGGTAGCTTTAGGAAAGGGGGAAAACATATATTTAATACTTGCGCCGGGTATTTAATGTTCGGCTCCGCCCGAACTTAGACTTTCTTACTTGTTATTTCTACTTTTGGAGTACCGCAAGGATCACATCTGAGCCTTAACTTTTTGAATATGTTCATATTGTAGTTGTAAGAGCATACAAATTGCCCAAAGAATTTTTTGGGAGTGTTTGTTGGAGTGACAGCCCTTGGTCAGATATAAATCTGGGTCGTTCCGGTTACGTAGACCCGACTGTCGTGGGAACGTTTAATATTTTTATAAATTACATCGGTGACAAACTTAAGTCTGAATGTTTTCTATGCAGATGACTAAAAAATATATATGTAGAAAGGTACCTCAGCACAAATTCTGCAAGTACATGTAATATTTTTAAGCTCTTCGATGCAACCATGTAACTATAGTAGCCGCATGAGCAGAAGCCAATTTGCCGACTTGTCCTAAAAAGTAATCAATGGTCACATTGTTTCACCTGAAATTCTTGAGCATTTCGGTTTCATTTGTAGGCCTCAGAATAAACCGCCAACTCAAAACAACAAGCCGAAAAGTAACTACCTAGCCGCTACAACAACAAAAAATATTAAATTTTTTCGGATCAACTACCTGCTTGAGATATCACACACAGCTATACGATAATGCATTTGTTATACTAGTTTTATTACATTGAATTGTTCTTGTACTGTAATTATCTTGCAATGTTTAATTTGCTATATTAGTACAAAGCCGATTGGCGTTAAGTGTTAAGCATTAAAAAAATAAATTAAATATTACCTACCTGGACGTACGCAATTCAAGTGGTTTTCTATTTTTCTTTTAGCCTCGGTGAATTGGTGACGCACGGACAAAATGGATTCATATTCGAAAATCAAAAGGAACTGGCGGATCAACTGATATTTTGGTTTGAAAATTTCCCAAGTAATCCGCGTTTACTAGAAACAAAGGAGCGTTTTCGGAAAAATTTGCATGAATTTCAATCATTGCGCTGGCATGGGAATTGGAAAAATAATGCTTTGCCTGTTTTTAACTCTTTTACTTAAAAACACCACGCCAAAACTGTATATAGTATATAATACATGTATAATATTTATGTACACCCACAAGTCTGTTGTTTTATATTTTATTAAACTTTAATTAAATTTTCTTTATTGCTTTTTGCATACAAAATGAAAGTTATAAATGTCCATTAAAAACATTTTTGAAATAAAATAATTAAAAAGCCGATGTTTTTTTATTAATCCTAAGACGCCAAATTGTGAAGGGATGGATAACCTTTACTAAAATGGAATATGCACATAAAGTAGAGAATTGCAATTCAATCAATCCATTTGAAGTAATCACTTCAATACATAAATCGTATTAGGATTCCAATAAATCTAGATATGTATAAATTCAGTCTACTACATAGTGAATTTAATTTTTATTTGAGGATTAATTGTCGTAAACTTAGAGCTTAAACAGACGGCAGCGTTGATCCGGATCAACTCGGGAATTAACTGCAGTTGATCCGGATTAAGTCGCAGTTGATCCCGATCAACGCAGCCGTCTGTTTAAGCTTTTACTCAACTCAAAGCAATGCTTATCTTTAAAACAAATTCTGTGATCGAGTAAAGTATTACAAATTTTCAGAAATAGTGACCATGACGAATATATTTCACATGTGCTCTCCACAAACCGGGCAATTATTTGAATGACATCTACACTTGTTGTAGCAGGCGTCGTGCAACGCATGTCCGCAACGGAGCTTGGTCATATTATCAATCTGCATAACCTTCACGCATATAACGCAGACATCTCCGGGCTTACTAAAACGATAAATAAAATGTGATAATCAGAAATTCACTTCAGAGTGGTTGGAAATGTGAAAACAAATTTCAAAACATGTTTATACTAACGTAATAAAGCTTTCTCTAGATCTTCCACGAGTATCACCGCGGCTTTCGTCACGATAATTAAGTGCTTGTGGTCGCGTCAGTACTAAAGCAACCATTCCTACACAAACTCCCAGCATGAATTGCCATATAGGAATCATTCTGGGGATTCGATTTCATAAAAACTTAATTCTATTCTAACAAACTTTTTTATGTAAGGTCGGTGTTATGCAGAAATTTTGTTTGGCAAACTGCGTGCAATTGTTGTTGCAGCAAACTCGGAGAGAGCGAGTTTGGCGACTCTCACAGCAAACTAATTTTGTTTGGTCAAACTGCAGCAAATTCGGTGTTGTC